CAATATTCTAATTTTTCGAGTTTCACCTGTATGTGTTTTGAGATTTTCAAATCCTTGCATTCTGTTTTTATGTATATTTTATACAGCATCCCTTTATTTGGAAGTGGAGCTGCACACGTGAATGATACCAATGTACATGATTATGCAAGGATCCTGTCTGAAAATTCAGCAGACTTCTTCCCCCATGTGTGACTTTCTATGTTCATCTTTTGTTAAAGCAGAGTTCCACTCACCCTGTCAAAAAATAAGTCAGCAGCTACAAAAGCTGTAGCTGCTGACTTTTAAAAAACAGCCACTTACCTGTCCTTTGGACCCGCGTTGTGTCCCGCAGCCCATTTCACCGTCCTGTATTCCAGGAGGCCGGCATCTTCAGTGTGGGCACCCGGCTGTGACAGCTTGCGGCTTCACAGCCAGGTACCCACTGCACATGTGCGAGTAGTGCTGCGCTTCATAAATGGTCCTGTAGTCTTCTGGGATCTGTCACGTGTCCCAAAAGACTACAGGGAGGGAGGACACCTTCTGCTCACCTAGGCGATTGGACTGGAAGTGGGAACGGGTACCTGTCAAATCTGGGTACCTGCTCCCCCCGCCCCCAATCCTTAATGGGGAGCGGGGGAGCAGTCCTTAAAGCGGAACGTCCCCTTTTTGGGTGGAGCTCCGCTTTAAAAGTTATTTCACAATTTACAGTTTCCATTTTGTTGTGAGACTGTAAAAGGCTGATACCATGATTTAGGCATGGTTTGCATTTAAATAATAAATGTAATGATGTATTAATGATTAGTGTGTAATGTCTTTTATGTATGTAGATTTCAACCTTAAAGTGCTTGTAAAGTTGTGTTTTTTTTTTTTTTTTTTTTTTTTATAACAAATATGTCATACTTGCCTGCTCTGCTCAATGGTTTTGCAAACAGCAGCCCCAATCCTCCTCTTCTAGGGTCCCTCGCCATCACTTCTTTGTCCTCTTCCTGCTTTATCACTATAGAAAGCTGCTTCCTATTTTGGCACATGTGCAGACTCAAACCCAAGCTGGTCTCTGTGTGTCCTTCCTCCTCACTGGATTTGATTAACAATAGCAGGAGCCAATGGCTCTCACTGAGTCCAATGAGCAGAAAGAAAGAGTAGCACTGGATTGACATTGGGCACAACCACTTTAACCACTTGCTGACTGCGCTATAACCAAAAGACAGCTACAGCGCGGTCAGCTAGTTCTGGAAGGGCGTCCGTGAACATCCTCCCAGAACCACGCCCCCGCACGCATACTGGGGTGTGCATCGGGCACAATCTGTGATCACTGTGTCCTCTGGACACAGCTGATCACGGTAAAGGGCCAATCAAAGTGATCCAGTACCATGTGATCAGCTGTGTCCAATCACAGCTGACCACCAATACTGGTTATCAGCAGCCCTCTCCTCATTCTCACAGCGCCCATAAGCAACGATCTAAAGAGAGGACATCAACACTGATAATCAGTGTGCCCTGAAGGAAAAAAAAAACTACTTATTTACAAAACTTTATAAACTTTCTTCAAAAGTTTGTCTTTTTTTTTTTTTTCATTTTTTTTTTTTAGCAAAAAGTAAAAATCTCAGTGATTAAATACCACCAAAAGAAAGTTTCTATTTTTAAAAAAAAAAATTCTGTTTGGGTACAGTGTTGCATGACCGTGCAATTGTCATTCAAAGTGCAACAACGCTGAAAGCTGAAAATTGGCTTGGGCAGGAAGTAGATGAAAGTGCCCGGTAGGCAAGTGGTTAAGGGTTATATATACCTATGGTGCACCATTACATTATTTATGCCAGAGATTGGCCGGCGCTTTCCTTCTACAGACGTTACATTGATGAAATTTTTTTATTATGGAATGGAGATGAACAGACACTTTTTTTAAAAATTTTTTGGCACTTTAAATAACAATGACCTGAATATCAAGTTAACTTTTGAGTATAGTTCATGCGAGATTTATTTTCTTGACCTAACGTTATTAAACAAGGGGGTAGGATTGTTACGGAATCCTATTTTAAGAGTACAGACCGGAATAGTTATATTCCAATGGACAGCTGTCACCACCCAGCTTGGTTATCGAATATCCCTAAGGGCCAGTTCCTTAGGATTAGGAGGAACTGCACCAACCTGGATACCTATTACACTAAAGCCTCCAAATTAAAGGAGAGATTTTTGGAAAGGCTATGAAGAGTCAGAGCTTGATCAAGCACTTGAATCGGTGGCTGACACCAACAGGGAGGAGATGCTGAATAGTGAAGTCAAACAAAGGCAACCCAAAGTATGTCCGTTTGTTACCACCTTCTCTGTCCAACGTAAGATGGTCACCAGGATCCTTAATAAAAATTGGGGTATTCTGAAAGCAGATCCAGTCCTTGCAACAATTTTACCTGACAAGCCAGAGGTTACGTTTAGGAAAACGATGGCATTAAGGAACAGAATAGCCCCCGACGTTGTTAATCCCCCCCCTTACAACTTTTTTTTCTCAAATTACAGGATTTGTTCCATGTAACAAATGTGTTATATGCCTATGCAATAACCAAAGGAAAAAGTGAGTTTGTTTATCATCTTCTACGGGCAAAGAGTACAATATTGATAATTTTATTTCATGCAACAGTTGGTTTATTTATTAGAATGCCTGTGCGGGAAACAGTACATAGGATGCACTACAAGGAGGCTGAGAGGTTGAGGGAGCATGTTTACAACGTTAAAAGATTTTAAAGATCATTCACTCTCCAAGCATTACAGGACATGCCACAATAGAGACCCTTCTTCCCTAACCTTCGTAGGAATTGATATTATTAAGACACAGTGGAGGGGGACCAATAAAAGGGCTGTCTCTCAATTGGAATCCAAGTGGATATTTGAGATGGGCACCTTCTACCCAAAAGGACTCAATGTAGATATGGATTTGAATTGTTTTTTTATAGACAATAGTTGAATCCAGTCTGTTCATGTACGTTTTTTTACTTTTATCTCCATTTTATATTTTTATTTTTATCTTTATGTTTATTTTCATTTTAGGATCTGTTTTACTCATTGCAAACTTTTTAGCTAATTTTACGCAATTCTTGGCTATTCTATTTGTATTAGCTATCCTATTCTATTTTTACAAATTTTTTCTTATGTGGGTGTTTTTTTACAGTTTTTTTATTTTATCCATCATTCAAGATGAAATATACATACATATATATATATATATATATATATATATATATATATATATATATATATATATATATATATATATATATATATATATATAGTTTTAAATCTGTTTTTACGGTTTAACTTTTTATAGACTTCATATGTATGAATATAATCATTTATGCATTCATATATTTCTATTTCATTTATGTTTTTCTGGGATTTTATACGTATGTGATTTTATATTAGCCATGTGTTTTTACTTTTATTTTTAAATATATTGGATTGGATTGTACTAGCCATACCACACACCAGTAGATATGATCATTCTGGTTTCTTAATATGAATATTGATACCTGCTGATTGCAGCGATTAATCGTATGAATAATTTGTGTTGCAGCTTAAGGTTAATATAAATTGCTGCACATTTATACATATGCTGGTGGTTGAAACAATTCTCGTTCAGGAGTCTTACTACTGCGCACTATTAATGTGGACCGTTTGAATGAAATGTTCCCCCTTTTTTTCACCTAATAATCGGTCCAAATATTTATTTAATGGTGCCACGTGATCATTCAACCCCCGTTTTCTATCTCTTATGTTTATGGGAATTATCATCCCCTTGTTTTACCTGTTGCATGGTATGGCTGAAATGCCAAATCTATGGAAAGATGGCGCACTCGCACGGACATCTAGGACTTCAGCAAAATGGCGGGCGCGATGTGCGCATGCGCCGCATCCATTATATAGACTCCATTGACGTCCTTGCATACGAGCACACCCCTTATGAATATGTGCCATAGCACGAAACGTGTCAAGGAGGAGCCGTACGCAGTGACGTCACGCTGCCGAGACCACGAGGAGGTCCGGCGGCCTACTTTAATTCACATGCTCAGTGTGTATTTTTTGCTTTGTTTACCTTACCTAAACAAACGATTATACTTGAAAATACTACACTATGGGCATCCTTCTTTTTGGCTCTTTATGAGCTGACATAACTACAGAGCCCATTCTGAGGTGCTGCAGATAACCCAGGGGAAGGGGATCTCTCTGACCAGACTAGGCTGTATACATCCTTAAGGGGACCTCCAGCTGACAACTTAATATACAAATGCGTACTATGATTACGCATCTGGTGAGTGCGTAATCTTAACAAATTCTCGGCACATCACCTGACATTAGAAGTATAGGGAGCACTTACCTAAGATCATTCTTGGATTGATCTTAACGATTAGCACTTTTATTGGAGTTTGATATTTTAGCACTATTATGTGCTCACGATTGTCACTTCATTAGCACTTTATTGTGGATATAACTTAATAACTTATTAACACAATATTTGCACTTTGTCACCTTATATGGGTATACCATTAATCATTTTATGCATTATTTTATATATTTATTGCATATGGTTGCATTACATTGATTCATTTTGATATTTTAGCGCTGCACCTATATTTATTTGATTACTTTGGAGGTTGTTTTTGGTTACCTTTTCGGTGCATCAGCTGCTTATGGTTTTAGCGCTTGCTTTTCTGCTTTTATCTTAAGTCACTAAAAAGTTAATTTTACTATGTAAGACCATATTTGTATTAATAATATTTTTATAGTGGGAAAAGGATGACTACGTTAGACAATTTGTGATGATTGGATGGGAAACATTTTTTGCTTTTATGCTTAAGAAAAATATGTCAAAGTTTTGATTGGGAAATTGGCACATACCAGCTTGCTTCTGTACAGACCTTATAATCATATGTTTCTTGTTCCTTCTTTGCTTGTACACACCGTTCTGGCTCTTTCACAAATCACTTGTGCATCATTTCATCTTGCTGAACATCGTACTTTGTTCTTTCTTTCCTAGAAATGGCACCTTCGTCACATCTATCTGGGTCTATTGAAGTGGAAAGAAAGTTTGTCCCTGGGCCAGAAGTAGAGAAAAGCTTGTATGCACTAGGGGCTGAGCTGCTTAAGGAAATCATATTTAGAGACTCTTACTATGATAGCGCAGAATTGCGGCTTACACTTAACGACTATTGGCTGCGAAAAAGAGGAGATAGTTGGGAGCTCAAACACCCACCACAACCAGGGACCAGAGGACTTTTTGGAGCTTCCACACAATACTTGGAGGTGACTGAAGAAGATAAAATTATTTGCAAAGTCAGTGAAGTACTGGGTGTACCAAGTCCCCCCAACATGGAAGCGTTTGGCCTGAATGAGTTTGCAAGTTTCGTGACGCGCAGACGCAGGTTCCAGCTGCCTCTAGAGGAAAGCTCAAGCACCATGGCTATGGTTGACCTAGATGAGGCAGACTTCGATTTTGCAGTAGGTGAAGTGGAAGTGATTGTACAAACACAAGAGGAAGTACAAAACGCATTTCAAAAAGTAGAAGAGATCTGCAAAAAGCTAGGTAAGAATATCAAGGGTCCCAGAACAAAAGGTTTGCAAACTTTATTTTTAATGATTAACTGTACTAATAAAATTCTCAGTATGTTCAGTTAGTGCATTATACTAGCAGAATGAACCTGATTCTGGGGATAAGAATTGGGCTTGTACACGAAAGTGGTATAATTAATATATACCTACCTGGTTAATTTTTTTTTTAGCGGCACTTTTTAGCTTTGCTTAATGACAGCTACAAAAAAGTGCTGTAACTCAGATAAATGTAAAGATCTGAAGTGGCCCTAAAAGGGCAAGGCAAATCCCCTGTAAAGTGTGCTACTGTAAAAAAAATAGTGCAAAAATAGTGCATTTTTTTAAAGCAAGGCTGCATTTATCCAATAAAAATTACAAAAAAGTTCACTACAAAAGAACATTCCTAAGGGTGCATTCACATCTGCAAATAATCCTTGACTGTGACTAGCTGCGAGAACCCCAGCGAGGGTTACCGAGAGTAGCTGTTAGTAAGCAGCTCAATTGAAAGCAATAGGAAGCTGCTATTTCTTGCATCTAAACACCCACTCACATGTAATTGCTCACACTGCGATTACTCGCATGTAACTGTTGCTTGAGCGATTACATGGGAGTGGGTGTGAATACCTGCAAGGTGAGCCTAGCATTTCTTTTAAAGGGGATGCTTACTCGTAGCTAATCACAGCCCCACTGGGGTTCTCGCTGCTAATAGCGGCCAGCAGGTTCTTCAGCAGGTAGCCAGTCCTAGTCTTCAGCCGCACTGCACCTGTGTCAGATGCCTGTGCCCCATACTGCACATTGTGGTTCTATCTGCTGACCCCTGGGTCACTACAGGACACAGTAGTGACAAAGGGACCTACATATGGAACCTCAGAGCATAAAAAGGACCATACATCCAACATACAGAGAAGTTTGGATAGCCTCAAACAGAAATTTCCACTCCAAGCAGCTTTTCCCTGCTGCCACTTGAAACCCAGGTGCTAGAGACAAACTAAGCCTTCCATGGTCATCAACCAGAAGCAAAGAGAAAAGTCATTGCACAAAAGTCTTTATTGTATAAATTGTCTGCCATGGCAATAGCAGTCCCCACCCTAGAAGCAAAATTTGTTGAATAATGAACCCACTGGACAGTAAGCATTAAGAGTCCTCTTTTGCAGGAAGCTTTTTTTTTTTTATTCTTTATTTTTAAATGTACAGAGTTGCTTTCAGATTTTTCCACATCACTGCAGCAAACTGTGGCTATCTTCGCAGGCTCGCCTCCTTATTGGCTGCCTATTAAAGCAGAGTTCCTCCGGGAAAAAAATAAGTCAGCAGCTACAAAAACTGTAGCTGCAGAGTTTTAAAATACAGACACTTACCTGTCCCTCGGTCCAGCGGTGTCCTCACCACCGTTGGTTTCACCGGCCATCTTCTCTCCCTGGCACCGGCAGCTTCAGTGTGGGCACCTGGCTGTGACAGCTTGCGGCTTCAAAGCTGGGTGCCCACTGTGCATGCACGAGAAGCGCTGCGCTTTGTGAATGGGCCCCAGTCTTCTGGGACCTGTCACATGTCCCAGAAGACAACAGGGAGGGAGAGGGGGAGGACAACTTCTGTTTCCGATTGCCTAGGCAATCACAGCGGAAGTGGGAGCGGGTACCGGTCAAATTCAGGTACCCGCTCCCCCTCTGCTCACCAAAGGTGCCAATCCTTAATGAGGAGCGGGGAACAAAGCATAATGGGCAGTCCTACTGACCAAGAGTGAAGTATAGGGGAGGACAGGAAGATCATGAACAGAAGGACTATTAGAAGTCTTAGAATGGTATGCATTAGAGTTCACTCTGAATTTTAAAGGTACAGGGGTGCTCTGCAAAGAAACTAATCATGCATGAAGGCACTGGGACATACCTGAATTATGAGGTGACTGCTTTACCCTGGTCTTCCAACCTACGTTTCCTTTTTCAGAACATACTGTATACATTACACTGCAGGTCAATGTACAAATCTGGATAAGCCCTTAAGGTTTAGCAAAATTATATTGTTCTCTGAGGTTAGTTCTCTTACACAACTGTCATAATTCTAATCTAGCACAAAATGAGTGCAGAGACATGGTGCATGCAGGTGTCTGCGCACATTTCTAGAACCTCAAAATACCACTCCTATGCTCCCTAGAGACCACCAAACTGCTATTCCAATCTCTTGAGTTGCCGCACCACTCCTCAGGTACCCTAGAAATTGTTTTCTTAAAAACTAAGGACCCATTCACACCATGTCCTTTGGGCTGCATTACTCAATGCAAGCCCAACATAAATACAAGCTGAAATCCATTGTTTCCAATAGCCAGGGTCACACCAACACTTGATGTGTGCTTGGTGAAGATAAAACTGGCTGCATTAAATGCAGCACAACATACTACAACATGACAGTGCATCTTAGGGCCCATTCACACTTGAGCATTTTTCATCTCAAAGCTCCACAAGGAAAATCCCATTCATTTCAATGGCCCCTGCTCACATTTGAGTGGTTTGTCACCAGAACCAAAATGCCTGTTGCTCAAAATAGTACATGAGCTACTCTTCAGACAGATTTGAGCTTTTTTGTCCCCATAGGCTTCAATGGAAAACATGTGAACAGCAAGAAATTAGCGGTTTTAGCTTAAACAGCAGCTCCCCTCCCCTTTTTTAGCATCACTCCACACTTTATAAACACATATCCTTGTGATCAAAACTGAGGGGAGTCTGCTTCTGGAAGCTGAGACATTCATCACTCTCTTCTGTGACCACCCCTGCATCTATGAACCCATGGATTCCCATTATAAGTGCTGGGCAAGGAGCACCAGGGCTTGGGAGGAAGTGGGATGAAACTTGCTGCCCCAGTGGAACAGCTACACTGCTCCCCAGATCAAGGAGAAAGGTACAGGACTTCTGTGTATAGCAGCCATGTGCTTGATCCTGGTTTTCCTGTTGTATGTGCCTAGGACATATCTACTCAGGTTTCTATTGGCCACAGCAAAAAATGCCTATAATAGCAAATCTGCTAAATAAAAAAAAAAAAAAAAAAAAAAGCGCCTGAAAACACTCAGCTTACTGTAGCTTCAAGGAAAACCAAAAGTATTTGGCTTCTGTTGTGGAAAAATCTTTCCAAAACGGCGCTCCTAGTTTTTCCCCCCAGCCCGCGCCCCCCCCCCCCCCGTGTCTTCTCCATCAAGACCAACAACACCACCATCAGTCCCACCCCTAAAGCCAGAGTAGTGGGTGTCATCCTTGACTCCAATCTGTCCTTCCAGCCCCAGGTCCAATTGCTGACAAACTCATGTGGACGTCACCTCCAACATCTCCAAAATATGACCATTCCTAACCTCGGAAACCACTAAGCAACTCATTTACTCCCTTATTATTTCATGCCTTGACTACTGTAACTCCCTCATCGGCTTACCTCACCGCAGGCTATCCCCGCTTCAGTCTATCTTGAATGCTGTGGCCAGACTCATTCACCTTACAAACCACTCCGTATCCGCCACCCCCCTCTGCCAATCCCTCCACTGGCTTCCGATTGCCCAACGGATAAAATTCAAAATGCTAACATTGACGTATAAAGCTGTTCATAATACTGCCCCAAACTACATCACCAATCTGGTATCCAAATACCACCAAAAACGTACTCTCCGCTCCTCACAAGACCTCCTACTCTCTAGTTCCCTGGTCTCTTCCTCCCATGCCCGTCTCCAGGGCTTCCCCCATCCTCTGGAACTCCCTACCCCAATCCATAAGACTATCACCTACCCTCCTCACCTTTTAGGTGCACCCTGAAAACCCATCTCTTCAGGGAAGCCTACCCCGCTCTCAGCTAATTACTGAACTCCTCCACTCATCCTACACTCCATCCCCCACAGCTATTTCCTCCTGTACCACTATCCCCTCCCTCCTAGATTGTAAGCTCCAAGGAGCAGGGCCCTCAAATCCCTCGTGTATTGAATTGTATTGTTACTGTACTGTCATGTACTGTCTCCCATTATAATGTACAGCGCTGAGCAAACTATTGGTGCTATATAAATCCTGTATAATAATAATAATTGCTGTAGCTCATTAACTATTGTATATTGCATCATGCTTGCCTGTGGCCAGCACTGTGCTTTCAGGCTTCATAAAATCCTTAAATATCTAAACTGCCATTAATTTAAAATTTTAGTAGTAGCATAAATTTAAAGCCTAACGCCAACATTTACAAGTAATTAAAAGTGCTGGCCTCTGCAGCTGATGGAAGTATCCAGCGCTTGTCTTTTCTGGAGGATTGGATAACAAAGAGCAAGCATTAACATTACATCATCAACTTGCAACAGCCAGCAATCTGGAATTTTTCTCTCCAGTGCTGGTATGTGGGTGGGTGTCATGTCCCATCCTGATGACACGGCAATTGGTCCTGCATCCAATGTCAGTAAGAGGGGCGTTCTCTGAGATGTTTCCTATTGCGACAAATTTGTAAATAGAAACATGGTTTCCTGTAGGAATGCACTGAAAACCAATTAATCCGTTTCGGAGGTCTGAAAAAAGTAAAAACAGTGTTTTATCTGTTCAAAACTCTTTTATAAAGTGCACTTTAGGGGCATAAATACTGTACAGTGACATGATTAAAAGAATTTGTAAATGCATTGAAAACCAATTAATCTGTTCCAGAGGTCAGAAAAAAGTCAAGTCTTATCTGTTCAAAACTCTTTATAAAGTGCACTTTAAAGGCACGGGGCTGGTGCTATAAACCTCCCAGGCGCAATGCATCCTGGGGAAACTTGTCTTTGTTTACAAATTTTTTTTCGCAATACCAAGTATTTTCGATGGATTTTCATTTGTAAACTGAAAATTACATTAACTGAGGCATTCGTAAACCGAGGTACACCTGTACTGCTGAACTGTGGATTGAGTTAAGCATTACTCTGTTGGTCCATCCCCTAGACAAGCACACACTAGATACTTCATCGGCTGGAGGGAGGAGACATTTTAAGTTACTTTTACCTGCACAGAGTTGAAGGCAACTACTTAAAAGGCTTTACGTAATTACATAAAAACCTTTTTAAAAGGTATATTTTGTTATAGTAACAAATACACTTACCTCTTCCAGGTGTTTTCCAGGAATCAGCTGTACAAGGCAAAGTAGCAACATTTCTTCAACTGAATCGTGTTGAACATTACAGGCAGTTGGTTGAGGCTCATGTATTTTGACCTTTGCAAGATCCACTCTAGAAGCCATGTGTACACTCCGATAATTTCTGATAAAGCTCTCCCCAAACTTTTGGTGCTACATAAATCCTGTACAATAATCATAATAATATGGATTTGTTCTCTGTGTAGCAATCCACTGAGTAAATCTGCCCACAGACATGGATGATTGTTTGCAGATCTGATTATGGTTGGATTGAAAAATTACTGCATGTCTATGGGCCAATCTGAGACCTCTGCAGACACACCCTGCCCAACAGATATTGAGAGTCAACTATTTCAGCTGATTACTGATGTTCTGCCAAGATAAAGCAGCAGTGTCAGATCTCATTATCTTTGATCTGCTAACCTGTTCATCACTCAAATTTCTATCTGACTCAAACAAGAAGGCTGCCTAAATACAGACATACACTATAAAGAGAATTTACAATCCAGCAAATGAGATAGAATTGTAATAATATCCCTCTGAGGATAGAGGAATAGGATTGGTTGCAGCATTGTTGGGGTTGGGTGGGCGGGGATGACAGATAAGATAGTTTTGTCTAAGGAAGTGGGGTGGAGGGTAGAGATCTGCAAACTTTTCATCCCCTTATCTCCAAAATTATGTGTATTCATACATGTGTCCTGATATCTGAAATAAATAAATCTTGTGCATTTGCTGCGTGTGATTTTGAAAGTCTCAATACATACACTTAAAAATTGTCTTTTGTTTTTCTTTACAATAATTTTAATGGACTTTAAAGCGAGAGAAGGTAGGGTTGGGGTAATGGTATCAGTTACAACAGTGGTCTCCAAACTGCTGCCCTTTGCTTGCCCTTATCCGGCTCTTGGGAAACTATTCCTCTCTGATGTGAGACACCAACAATGCAATGGGGCACCTTTTCTCCCACTGACAACAATCATGGGGTATTATTCCTCCCAATGATAACGATGGAGCACTATTCCTCCCCCTAATACCACATGTGGCGATGTTTATGCCCACTGATGCCGGGAAAATGTCTACAGATGCTGGACACAGTCCGGCTCACCTAAAGTCTTAAGGACAATAATCTGGCCCTTTGTTTAGAAAGTTTGGAGACCCTCTGCATTACAACACTGGAAATTAATGACAATTTTTGTCATTACAGTACATTAAGAATGCTGTCTAAGGAGAGAAAGAAGGGGAAATGGGTAGCAGAAGTTATAAATGCATTTGCAAGCTTAGCAATGTCAGTTTTGAGTCTAAGTGTTTAGGCTAAAAATGATTTTGTTCCCTTCTTTGGCTACCTGGGGTGATACATGCAGAGTTCACCCCTGCTTGGAGAGGGAGTGAAGAGTCAGTAAAGAGGGGTGATGTGATGCAAAACATGTTGGGAAGGAAGCACAGAGAGGTGCTTGTTTTACCTACTCAAAGGACATTGTTGGTTGTTTCCAGGTTCTCGCAATCAATTGTCTGGTAGCCAAGAACATGTGTTGTGTTGGGATAAATCTAATGTAGGTTTATGTAACAAGTCTTCCTAAGGGTTCTTCAGGAGAGAGGTATTTAATACTGACTTAATTAAATTGTAGACCCATATCCAGAGCTTCTTAAATCTTAGTCTTTTCCACCAAATAGGCAGGATTGAACTGAGTTAGTTAAAACCTCTAAAACCATTACTTTCCACTGACACTTACGCGTTCCAGGAACATGAGAAAAACAAGCAAGAACGTGCACTGTTTGCAGCGCCATGAATTCTTAATAACAAACCAAATGTGGTTAGTGGCTATACAAGGTAAAAAAACGCACAAAGCTCACCACCCAAAAAGGTGTGATAGCTGCTTTGGTGCATTGATCAATCGACTCTTGTACAACCAGCCTGCTGGGTTTTTTCCCGAACGATTAGTGCTGCCGTTTACAGCCGGCAATAGTTGGCAACACTAATCATTGTATTCTGCTGGTACCGAAGGCTCCTTGCCGGCAGAACACTATAGCGCTGTGGAATGGATATCCCCATTAACATGGACTGTGTTGATGGGAAATTGATCATTTTTCCTTTCACCTGTGGTAGAAGGAAAGAAAACTGCCTAATCCAGGCTCTGCTTAAAGAGTAACTCCACTCTTGTGGAGAAAAAAAACATTCCCCTTTGGGTGATCTATGTAAATTGCAAGGATTTTAGCAAAGGTTGTTGCAGATTTCTACCTCATGTTATTCTAAAGAAATAAACAGAAATTGCTGTTTGTTTGTCTGTCCATGTGCAAAATGAATGTGAATGGGAGATATTTTATAATTGTCAGCTGCTGCACCTGTGGGGTTCTAATGAGTAAATGTCAGGGCCTGCATCCCTTTAGAAGTGATTTTCCTTTGGGAGTATCGCACCAAAAATGATTTTTTATTTTTTTGCAGGGGATACCCAAAATCAGACTTGTATCGAAGTTCAGACTTCTGGGAAAATCAATAAGTCAAACACACAAGCAGGAAATGACATTTCTTGGGGGGTGTTCTGTACACCACCTGTGTACAGAACACCTCCATGTTGCCATATTGCATTTTACAGAAAATTACAGCTATGCAGATTGAAAAGGGAAAGTTATTTTGTAATAACATTAAATTACAATGACTTGTGTTGCAGTTGTACATGTTATATTAATATTTTATTTTTGCAATTTTTTTTCCCATAAAAGTGGAGTTACCCTTTATGGTCTTCTATCTTGATCTGTCTTTGCTCCTCTGTGGGTGGATGGAGTGTAGTAGTGTGAGTCGGATAAAACTTCTGCTCAAAATAGAAAAGATTTAGCCAATATCAGTTGTTGAAACACCTTGTGCAAAATAAAGTTGTATCCAAAACTAGCCTTTATATTATATGTAGAAAGGACAGGGTATTCCAATAAAAAACGCAAAATGTGTACTCGGTAAGATACCCTATAGTTTCTCTTTAAAACCCCTGCCATAAAACATCTATGGACAATTTAAAGCAGAATGGATGCAAGCGTCACATCACTCTATCCTTGTTTGTATTTTTAACTGACATCTGGATAAAAGCTACCAATAGAGTTCTATTTTGAGAATATAATCTTTGACTTCCTATTCACTTGATGTGAGAGGGGGATAGCTGATTAATGCCAAGATCGTTTTAAGTGCAGTCCTGCCATCAACTTGATCGATGTCGATGTCTGCTAATTGTAACATATCTCTCCCTTCTGTACATGTGAGGTACCCTACACAGAAAATCATGTGACAAGCTGTGATCACTTCCTATATTTTAGAATTAGCGATGACAGTCATCAACTATAAATGTTCTTCACATTCCTGTGAAATTCTCAGCAGATATGTATACATTGCAAGTATAAGCATATTCTGTCAATTGTACACAGTGTCACTCCATCTCATTTAGTCTCTCCCACACACACTTCCAGTCTCTCCCTCTCACACCCTCCCTCAGTCTCTTTCTCTGCCCTGCATTGATTTCCCGCTTGTGCATATTGACTTTCACTTAGCGCTGATCAGTGTTTAAGTTGTCTGAAATCCGCTGCCTTCTCCCCGCTCAATACCTTCGATCCCACTCGTTCCTCCTAATAGCCTAACAAGATTGTTCTTCTATGGGAGGTGTGGAGCAAGGTCCAGAACTACTAGTTGTTGATGGAAAAATAGATATTGTTAGTGACCCCGTTGAATGGACAGCGCTCACTAAGATAGAGTTCAGAAAACAACAGACGAATATACAGGAGTAAACGTCATGGCCAAAATGGTTAGAATTCTGATGTCAAATGTAAAAGTTTAGGTTTAGAAATATGAAGTGATTATTCCATTACTTTTTTAGCAGCTTATACTAATAAACATTGTATAGCACATTTTTGGTAACTGACTAACTGAACAATGAATAATACCTAAAGTATTAGAAGAACCCACCTTTTAAAAATGCCACACTAAAAAACAAACCTTCTCTTTAACCGCTTGCCCATCATCCTATAGCAGAAATACTGCTGCAGGGCTGCGCCTCAGCTGTCGATCACCGGGTCCTGGCCGGTGATTCCCCACCAGCGATCACTGATTATCACTGAAGGGGGAGAGGTCTGTATGTAAACAATACAGATCTGTCCCCTGTCAGCTCTTGCAAACTGCTTTGTATTCTAGATGGTAAGTTCTAACAAGCAGGGCCCTCTGTTTCCTCTTGTACCAAATTGTATTGTAACTGTAATGTCTGCATTCATTTTGTAAAGTGCTGTGCAAACTGTTGGTGCTATATATAGTATAATATTATTATTATTATTATTATATAGTATTTATATAGCGCCAAAGGGTATGCTCAGCACTGTACAGTAGCAAGGGGGACAGAACATGAGACAAGACAGTAACAAAACAGTACATGAGGGGTTCGAGGGCCCCGCTCTTTCGAGCTTACAATCTAGGATTGCTGTATAATAATAATATTGCAATACAAAGCAACATGCTTACACAGTAAAACACACACACAGTAAAACAGCACAGTAACCCTTTGATTGCCCCAAATGCTAACCCCTTCCTGCCCAGTGCCATTAGTACAGTGTCGGTGCTTTTTATTAGCACTGATCAACTGTATTAGTGTCACTGGGGATGTTAGTGACAGTCATTTCTCCCCCTCCAGTGTCAGAATGCTCGCTGCAGTCCCGCTATAAGCCGCTGATTACAAGCATAAAAAAATAAATTCCAATATATACCGCCATTTGTAGATACTATAATTTTTAACGTAAACCAATTAATTTACACGGATTGGGATTTTCTTCAGCAAAGACGTAGCAGAATACATTTGGCCTAAATTTTAGAACAAAATTTGATTTTTAAATTTTTTTTTTACTGGACATGTTTAACAGCAAAAAGTCAAAATTTTCTAAATTTTTTTTTTTTTTTGTTTATAGTGCAAAAAATAAAAAAAAAACGCAGAGGCGATCAAATACCACCAAAAGACAACTTCATTTGTGGGGAAAAAAAGGACATAAATTTAATTTGGGTGCAGTGTTGCATGACCATGGAACTGTCAGTTAAAGTAACGCAGCGCCATACCACAAA